TCTTGAAATTTTTCAATATTTGAAATTTGAAAAAAAAATAATATTTGAAGAATAATTCTTTTTAATTTCTGAAATCTGAAATGAGAAAAAATTGACCCCCCACAATTTCATTTTATCCCCCCCCCCTTTTTTCCCCAAAAAAATTCTTTCCCTCAAGATATGGTCATAATCTCAATTCAAATTTCCAATGGAGTTGGCAACCATAATTACCCATTTAAATTTACCATAGTGCTAACTTAATTTATTTTATAATAGAATTAAAAATATAGTGTCAAATCTTTCATATGGATTTTTTTGTAAAAAAAAAAGATGCAACATTTGCAGATATTTTTACTGGTCTTCCTTTATAAATATGTATTTCTTTAAACATAATTTAAAAGCAGTGTAAGGGAAGTAACCAAAACGTTGTATTTGGATTACCTCCCTTACACTGTTTTAAATTATCTTTATTGTTCATTAACCATTACTTTATACATAATTTAAAAGCAGTGTAAGGGAGATAATTTCAATGATGTATTTGATTTATCTCCCTTACACTGCTTTAAATTATGTTTTGTACTAAAGTATTTGTCCATTAACCAGGACAACCTTGTTTTTCCCCCTTTTTTGCCCCTAATTCCTAAACGGTTTGAGCCATAACCCCCCAAAGCAAATCCTAACCATCCCTTTGTGGTATGGAAACTTGTAGTATAATTTCAGAGAGATCCATACACCGTTCCACCGTTATTGTCTGGAAACTAGAAAATGCTTATTTTTGGCCCCTTTTTGGCCCCTAATTCCTTAACTGTTGGTACCATAACCCCCAAAATCAATCCCAACCTTCCTTTTGTGGTATTTAACCTTATGGTCAAATTTCAAAAAGATCCATTCACTTAAACTAAAGTTAGAGTGCGAAAACCAATGTGTCTTCGGACGACAACGCCGGACGACGACGACGACGCCAACGTCATACCAATATACGACCACAAAATTTTTTTGCGGTCGTATAAAAATGGCGGCTGACATGGAAAATCGAGATTTTCGAAAACGACCCAGGACTAATACTGTAAACGATCAAATTAAATAAATACAACGGCGACTTTGAACATCCTCTGATATAACTTTCAAAATTGTTCAAACGGAAAACTGACCGTCTGTTTAAGTTATCGTTTTACGATGATTTTCATCTGAGGATGTTGCATAATCACTCAGCTGATTTGTTTTATTTTTATTACCTACACGAGTCGATCAATTTTACTATTCGGTAGGTAAAGGGTGAGAATTAACGGTAGATTTATTATATTCATTGAATAAAAATTGAAATATAAAAGGTAGAAAGACAACTGATGGATAATGTGATTGCAAACGTACGACACTCAACCAGATTGTGATCAGCAGTGGATTTTTTCTCATGACCACTTCGTTGATATGGATGATATTTTTAAAAAAATTTATAGAAATTAGCTCTATATCGGATAATTAATTTGCGATTGAAAGATATTTTCATTTATAAACTTACAATCTTTAACATTGTTTAACGATAATCTCAATTTACAACTAACATAAATGTCCTGGACATTCAATAATGTTTTACAAAATAATGACAAGTGGTGATATAAATTAAATTCCCAGTCATGTGAAATTCAACAGGTAAACTAGGAGTCATATTTTTCTGGAGTTTTAAAAATAAATTGAGGCAGATGCACATGAATTTAATGCATCATAATCTTGATAATATTACTAGGTTACTCCCTCATGTCCCAATCAACAAATTTTATTTAGAACACATTATGGTATTAATAAATAAATAACAACTATATATTGTCTAAACCTTTTTATTAAGAACTTTCTATATATACACTGTGTACAATAACATATGAAAAAACTGCAAGTATATAAAACAATTTCCTTAGTGATACATGTAAGCATGAAAACACTATGCAACTGAAACGGTAATGGAATCTCACTTCTCCAAGAAGTTGACCACTTCTCCCTTCTCTCTCATGGAAGGAGAAGTCACTTCTCCCTCTTCAAAATCCTAAATTAGGCCCTGTATGAGATACTGAAGACTTATAAGAAAAGAAAAATGGGTGTTATGGGGCAAAATATTTTACCCTGTATCATAGGAAAAAAACCCAAGGAGTCCAAAAATCTTACACAAATTCCTAAACCTGACCCAAGTACATCCTTAATCAGATTATTGGCTTACTGCAAACACTTGTTAACTATCATTCAAAATAAAATCAATAAGAAGAAAACTTCTGAAAGATTGAATTGCTTTAACTTAAATGTCTTATTGTAACAATGGACAATTATAATAAATAATAAAAAATTAGTGGTATCCTATATTTGATTATAATGAATCCCAAATCCTGATTAAATAAAATGCTCCCCAGGGCGCAGCTTGATACGACCGCAGAGGTCGAACCCTGAACAGTTGGGGCAAGTATGGACATAACATTCAAGCTTGATACAGCTCTGAATTTGGATTGTGATTAAATATTTGACACAGCATAGGTTTCTGACACAGAATGAATGTGGTCTAAGAACTTAAGAATTTTAAATTGGACATTCACCTATTATGGTCCAATATCCAAAATCTAAATACATGGTTAGATTCAGCATATGAAAGAACCCCAAAGATTCAATTTTTGATGAAATCATTAATTTTGGACCCTTTTGACCTCAATGTTGACAAAGTTGATAACGGGGCCCAAAAATCAAAAATCTAAATACATGGTTAGATTCAGCATATCAAAGAACCCCATATATTCAATTTTTGTTGAAATCTAACAAAGTTTAATTTTGGACCCCGATTTGGACCAACTTGAAAACTGGGCCCATAATCAAAAATCTAAATACATGTTTAGATTCAGCATATCAAAGAACCCGAAGAATTCAATTATTGTTAAAATCAAACTAAGTTTAATTTTGGACCCTTTGGACCTTAATGTAGACCAATTTAAAAACGGGGCCCAAAATCCAAAAACTTAATACACGGTTAGATTCAGTATATCAAAGAACCCCAAGAATTCAAGAATAAAACCCCATTGAAATTGGTCAAGAAATAAGCAATTTATACGAAGTATCTTCTTTTGCACAATACTGTGCAATTGAATATTTCTTGCTATTGCACAATACTGCACAATTGACAATTTCTTGCTATTGCACAATATTGTGCTATTGGATATTTCTTGCTATTGTGCAATACTGTGCAATTGAAGATTTCTTGCTATTGCGCAATACTGTGCAATTGAAGATTTCTTGCTATTGTGCAATACTGTGCAATTGAAAATTTCTTGCTATTGCACAATACTTATTATATAATAATTTACACATCCTGTTTGGTGTGTATCTCCTACCATATCATTATTATTTTCTTTTAAATATAAATCAGAAATAACCAACTTAAAATTTTAAAAGGAAAAAAAAAGGAAAAAAAGAAAAAAAAGGAAAAAAAAAAATCCCCCCCCCCCAAATTTTGTGAACCCCCTTATGATTCATCACCCCCAAACTCAATCCCAGCCTTCCCTTTGTGGTATGGTACCTTGCAGTACAATTTCAGAGAGATCCATACACTTGAACACAAGTTATTGTCTGGAAACTAGAAAAATGTGTTTTTTTGCCCCTTTTTGGCCCCAAATTCCTAAATGTTTAGGGCAATTACCCCCAAACTCAAACCCAGCTTTCCCTTTGTCATATGGAACCTTGCAGTACAACTTCATAAAGATCCATACACTTACACACAAGTTATTGTCCTGAAACTAGAAAAATGCTTGTTTTTTTGCCCTTTTATGGCCCCTAATTACTAAAATTTTGAGGGAATTACCCCCAAAATCAATCCCAGCCCTCCCTTTGTGGTATGGTACCTTGCAGTACAATTTCAGAGAGATCCATACATTTGAACACAAGTTATTGTCTGGAAACTAGAAAAATGCTTATTTTTGGCCCCTTTTTGGCCCCTTATTCCTAAACCTTTTGGGCAATTACCCCCAAACTCAATTCCAGCTTTCCCTTTGTGATATGGAACCTTGTAGTACAATTTCATAAAGATCCATACACTTACACACAAGTTATTGTCATGAAACTAGAAAAAATGCTTGTTTTTTGCCCCTTTTTGGCCACTAATTCCTACAATTTGGAGGCAATTACCTCCAAAATCAATCCCAGCATTCCCTTTGTGATATGGAACCGTGTGGTACAATGTCAGAGAGATCCATACACTTACACACAAGTTATGTCTGGAAGTTACAAAAATGCTTATTTTTGGCCCCTAATTCCTTAACTGTGGGTACCATAACCCCCAAAATCAATCCCCACCTTCCTTTTGTGGTATTGAACCTTATGGTAAAATTTCATTGAGATCCATTCACTTAAACTAAAGTTAAGAGTGAGAAAACTAGTGTGTCTTCGGACAACGACGACGACTATGACGACAACGACGACGACGCCGACACCAACATCATACCAATATACGACCACAAAAAAATTTTTTGCGGTCGTATAAAAAAAAAAATAAAGAATGTATCTTTTAACATATTTCTCCATCAAAATCAAAGGAAACACTGTTTTTACTTTTATGTGTCAGAAATATATATGAGGTCTGGTCCTTTATTTTTTCTTTATTCTATATTTTGTTTGCCCATTATTCTCTTTTACTTATATTTTACTATCCCATTATTTGTTATTCTTTTTATTATTTTTGCCAATTTTTCTATGTTTTTTATTTTTAAGGCACTTCATTCTGCACTTTTTGCCCATTTTCCTCATTTGTAAACCCAATCCAGACCCTCATATTTAGAAAAATGTTCAAACATAATAGTTATAGTTCCAATCATGCATCAGTATTATTGTCAGTTTTACTTCCTGGTGGAGAACATGACCTAACAAATGGATGGTTAGTTAGAAGGTATCCTATCCTCAAGAAATTAATAAAATTGTAACCCAAGTCAGACAAACTCTTTGAAGGTAGTTTTTAGAATTATCCGAAAGCTATAGAACTGAATAATTTAGAAACTTACTGAAAATTCTTTTGGCTGAAAAGCATTTGGATTGAAGAGTACACCTATCACTTGGCCACCATATCTATCATAGAAAAACAGGGCTAAATTGCCATACTTCTCCTGCAAACAAAAAATAGAATTAATAAATTACTTTTATAAGCTGAACAACAAATGGTGCTGCAGTTAAAATGAGTTGTGGACATTATTATTTACTGTATAGACACAGAAATGGCAGATCCATTTGAATCAATAACAAGAATGTGTCCATAGTACCCGGATGCCCCACTCATACTATCATTTTCTATGTTCAGTGGACCGTGAAATTGGGGTAAAAACTCTAATTTAACATTAAAATTAGAAAGATCATATCATAGGGAACATGTGTAAGTTTCAAGTTGATTGGACTTCAACTTCATCATAAACTACCTTGATCAAAAACTTGAAGCGGGACAGACGGACGAATGGACAGACTAACGGACGAATGGACGGACGGACGAACAAACGGACGCAGACCAAAAAACATAAAGCCCCTAGGTGGGGCATAAAAATTCATCATTAAAAAAAAAAACCAAACACACCTAATACGAATATGATTAAATCACAGTTCCAGGATAGTCAACAAATTAGTATGTAAACAAGAATTGTACAAATGAGAGCGTTTACGATGCAATTTTCCATATAATTAATGTTTTCAAGGGGCATAACTCTTTTAATAATAAATGATCGGCACTTATTTTCTAAATTATCCAAGACATTTCTGATATAAACCTTTGATATAAGTTTCATAAAAACTGGCAAGAATTGTACATGGGAAAGTTCTAACAAGACCAGACAGAGGGACGGACAATCGTTATTTCTATGTCCCCTGCAACGCGTTGCACGGGGGACAACAAAACTGAATGGTCCTTTAAAAAATCATATGTACCATACAGATGTGAACAATGAATGTATTATGACATACCATTGTCAGTTCATTTATCCATACCAGCACATATCAAAATGATAGAAATTTGCTTAAACAGGCATTTATGAAATTTTACATATTGTATCATTCCTTTCCATTTTTATGATTTTCAGAGGTTTCCGTCCAGAATTATGGGACATAAATCTTTAAAAAATGCAAAAAAAATGCAACTAGATTCCAATTCAATTATCTAAAACTAAGGCCTTTATACAAATTATGATAGTTCAGTAAGAGATTTATCAAAGCTGCATGAATTTATTGGCAGTTAAGTCAGCTTTTACAATTCATATCAATAAATGCAGACACATAAACCTTTGTTAGTCTTGTATGTTTTTTTAATTTCAGTTCATTTATATGTTTCGGAGTTTAGTGTGACGCCCATTTTCACTGAACTAGTACACATTTTTGTTTAGGGGCCAGCTGAAGCCCGCCTCGGGGTGTGGAATTTTCTCCCTGTGTTGAAGACCCATTGGTGGCCTTGGGCTGTTTTGTGCTCTTTGGTCAGGTTGTTGTCTCTTTTGACATATTTCCAATTTCCATTCTCAATTCTATTTTTTACATAAACATCTATATTTTCATGTATTTAAAATCACAATGTTAAAGTGAATTATTGCCATTAGAAAGAGAGTATATATCAAGGTACCCTGAGTTCCTGTAGATATTTCTGCACCGGATCATAGTCATACACTGGCAGGTTTGTCTTATATTTATTGTCCAAACTATCACCCAATGGTGGGTTATATAACTTCTTTGGCCTGTCAATCATCATTCTATCACAGGCAAGTTGTTTTCCTCGAAGGTGGATCAAAAGATCAAAATCGTCAACAGCTGGGCGAAATATTTGCTGAAAAATATACAAATATATATAAAAAATATTTATAATTTTTCAGATGCATATATATATAAAAACAAATATTCTACCACTCAACCATGTTAATGACAATATTTATCCACTTTAAGGTGGTACCCAACACCTTGACTAAAATTAATTTGGCTCGTTTAATTTTCATAAAATTTTGACATAATGTTTACTTTGACCCTTTGACAAAAATATAAAAATTTCAAAGAATTTGAACCTACCACTTTATCAGAAAAATTTCGTTGGTTATATAGCAGTTTGACAAACACTAATTTTGATCATTGAGAAGCGTAATATTTCCTTAACAAAACAACGTGATTAAAACGTTTAGCTGATTTTTACAGAGTTATCTCCCTATAGTGTTAGGTACCACCTTAAATATTGAATTTTCAAAACAGAGTTTTCTCAAGAGTCAATAAAAACAGTAGTCAAAGTGTTAAAGGGGTCAAATTTATTTCTCTTATGTTTTAAAGGGAAAATACTGAGTGCAATATTCAGAATGGACATGACAGGAAATTACATGACATTGTGACAAAACAAAATGAGAGGTGAAAGATATCAAAGGGACTTTTAAACTCATAAGTAGAAAATAAACTGACAACGCCATGGCCAAAAAAGAAAAAGACAAACAGACAGACACTAGAACACTAAACACAACATAGAAAACTAAAGACTGAGCAACACGAACCCTACCATAAACTGGGGGTGATCTCAAGAGCTCCGGAAGGGTAAGCAGATCCTCCTGTAGTTTATCAAAATTTATCAAACTTGTCAGAACTGGTATAAATGCATACAGAATAAGAGAAACAAATATATTTTATTTGTTTTTAACATTTCAAAAACCTACATAAGTATACAGAAAGCATCATAAGTTTGAATATTATAACAAACATTGATTACTACTTATTATAACTGGAGCAAATGTCGACAGCACCCAAACCACAGAGAACTAAAACTGTCCATAGACTGGAACAGAAGGAATATCGTGTATAAAAACAAACAAGACCAACATTGGGTCTGGACCAGTGATGCTGCATGCAATTGATTGAGGTTGCATGTATACTAAAGCAAAACTGATCATTCCCTTCTATAGTAGCCAAGAAAAGTTTGACAAATATTGTCCTTTTACAATGTGTAGCAAAAACTATGAAGCTGCACAACAGAAATAAAATTTGCTTACACGTTACAACTCATCATTATCAAGCTGCAGATCAAATAAAAAATAATTCCCTTTCATAGATTCTTTGAGACGGACACACAGACAAACCAAGTCAAGCGTTTACTAGACCTGCTCTTGTATTGGCAACGCACCAGGTAATAAAACAGATATGTTTTCTCATTTGAATTGTTTCACATTTTTTCATATCAGACCCTACTATACGGTATGAGATTTTCTCAGTGTTAAAGGCCTACAGTGACCTATATTTGCTTATATCCACTTATTTGAAATCTTGTGGATAGTTGTCTCATTGGCAATCATACGACATCTCTCATTTTTATATATCTGTACATATCAACATAGAGTCTTCAATAATAGACATCTTTTTATGCCGTAAATACATCTAATTTAGAACTTGAAATAATATATTAGACACATTTAATATTTTTATATAAAACTTGAGAAGTTACATTAGACAATATATTAATCTTTAAAAGTGACATAAAAACATAACTGTCTTTCTTCCTAAAAAAAATAAAATCAGCTACATTTGTAAAACTGTATTCCATGAGAATCCAAATGTGTAGATGATGTATAACAATATTAAGGATGTTCGCTACTCTACTTCAAAATAACAAGATTTTTTAAAAGCTTGTAATAAATTGATGGTATATAAATAACGGAACTTAAAAAGAAGAAAAAAATAATAGGTCTGTGTCCTTGTTTTTGAGATATAATCAATTGAAAATCTGACAGGAAATGATTCTCTCTAGATTTTTTGTAAATTTAACATTGACACCTTTTTTATTTCAAAAACTATGAAAAAATAACAAAGATTTTATAAGATGTTCAAAAATGGCTGTTTAAAGTATATGTTCTAAAGTTATGAAAAGAAAAATAGGGGTTAGCATGCAAACAATTTATTGGCACTACATTGATAAAACTAGAGGATTCCGAATATCTGACAAAAAGTCAAAAACAAGAGTAGCGAACATCCTTAAGGAAAGATACAAAGAATTCTCTATTCAGTGTTATTACATTGGTTGCAATGAATTACCATGATTTCCATGTGAAATAAAAACTGATAATTTCACATGTGAAATAATCTCGATAATTTCACTCATCTGATGTCATAAAACAATAGGTGTTGTCAAATGTTGTCCATGACTTTGCATCAAAGCAAATTGTGAATGGGTAGAAAAAGATGTAGTTCATTACATTTTCTACTTTAATTCCATTGCCAATGTAATCAAAAGAATAACTAATCAAAGAATTCACATATCGAAAAATATTCAACTCATGACCGAAACAACACTGATAATTAACTCATGCGCGACCCGCATAAGTGAATTAATGTGTTGTTCCGTCACTTGTTCAATATTTTTCTATATTTGAATTCTTCGATTAGTTTATTCTATAATTATTGTACTTGTTTACATTTTTTCATTTACCTTAAAATCTGGTACAGAAGGTCCAATTTCTCCAATCTGTGATTCTATTATCTGAAGACATTCAGTAGCCAGGATGACAAGTCTTTGTAAGATCATAGGTGTAGGATGTTTTTTGGTCCACACAGATTGAAATCTATCTTGTGGTGTGGAAATGAACATTACTGGATGACTAGATCTGGACTTGGTAAAATTTGATGTGATTTCTGAGTAATCTTCACCTGAAAGAAATATTAATATGAAATAAAACTATTTCAAAATTATAAACCCATAATACATACCAGGATTGAAATTTTGTACGCCAGACTCGCGTTTCGTCTACAAAAGATTCATCAGTGATGCTCGAATAAAAAAATTATAGAAAAATAAATGTGGATAGTGTCCACATGTGCACACAGATGATGCCCCCGCTTGCATATCATATAGTTATAAAGGGACATAACTGAAGAACGGTAAAAGTGACGCTACCCAAATTTTAACTTGATCTGAGTTTTGTGGTAATAAGCATTGTGTGTAAGTCTCATAACATTTGGTTGAGGCTAACTTAAGTAGAGAACAGAAACTGAAAATTCAGCAATTTTTCTATTTGTAAACATGCATAACTCTATAACCGTTGTGTATAAGTTTTATAACATTTGGATGAGACAAACTAAAGTTAGAGAACGGAAGCGAAATATTCAGCAATTTTTATGTTTATAAAGGGACATAACTCAAGAATGGTAAAAGTGTCACCACCAAATTTCGTACTTAATCTGTATTATGTAGTAATAAGCATTGTGTATAAGTTTCATAACATTTGGTTGAGGCAAACTCAAGTTAGAAAACGGAAACAAAAAATTTGTATTTGATCTTAGTTTTGTGGTAATGAATATTGTGTATAGGTTTCATAATGTTTGGTTTGGGCAAACTTAAGTTACAGAATGGAAACTAAAAATTTTGCAATCTTTCGATTTATAAAGGGGCATAACTCAATAATGGTTAAAGTGACACTACCCAAATTCAACTTGATCTGTGTTTTATCAGTGGAAGTCAAAATTAAACATTGCATTGTATAAAGCATTGATTGTAGTTGATTCAACTATAATCATGGACAAAGAAAGATAACTCCAATTTTAAAAATTACTTGATATTTAGAAGAAAATAAAAATTTTGCAATTTTTCCATTTATAAAGGGGCATAACTCTAGACCGGTTAAAGTGACGCCACCAAAATTCAAACTTGATCTGTGTTTTGTGGTAATAAGCATGTGGTAATAAGCATAACATTTGGTTGAGGCAAACTCAAGTTAGAGAATGGAAACCAATTTTGGGACGTACGTACAGACAGACAAGGGTAAAACTTAATGCCCCCACCACTACGGCGGGGGCATAAAAACAAATAAAGTACGAAGTTGAAGAACATTGAGGACCCAAAATTCCTAAAAGTTTTGCCAAAAAGAGAGCTATACTAATACTAATAATAATAATAATAATAAATTCTTTATTTATAGAGGGTAACCACAGTTAGTAACAATTACTAATCTTCCCTGAGGCCCTCATAATTTCACTCCTCTGACGTCATAAAACAATAGGTGTTGTCAAGATGTTGTCCATGACTTTGCATCAAAGCAAATTGTGAATGGGTAAAAAAAGATATAGTTCATTGCATTTTCTATTTTAATTCCATTAAAAAGCCCATTGCCAATGTAATAAAAAGAATAACTAATCAAAGAATTCACATATCGAAAAATATTCAACTCATGACCGAAACAACACTGATAATTTAACTCAGTTAATGATAAAATGATTGTTTATCAACTAGTTTCCAGAGGTACTGTAAATGCAATGTAATGATTATTAATACCCAAAATGCAACAGAATAAACAATTCATGGTGTGGTCTTTGTACTGTCCAATAATTTTTCGGTAATTCCTGTTTTCTATTTTATGTATTATTTAAAACTCTATTTTTTTAAGTAACATTCTGCTGACACATATACAGGAATTTCATTAATTAATCTTGCATTTTTGTCAGTTGTTGGGAGATTTGCAACACAAAATGTACAATTGAAATTCTATATTTACAACAATCAAATGTTGACCCTTACAAACTCAACTAAAGGTTTCCAAAAATATAAAATTTCAACAAGAGTGCACATGCTGAAATGTCTCGCATGCTTCATTGGTCAGGATTGATTTTATGTTAAAAGTATTGAAGTTTTTAACAGACATTCTAATGAACCCTATTTGTACAGAACTACTTTTCATATTGGTATAAATTTTTCAGATTCCATTGTTTACCCTAATTTTCTTTCTTTCATTTTGAAAAGTTTTATGTTGAACTTGTACACACCTGTTTTTGTTCTGACACTTGTACAATTCGCCATTTCAGAATTTCAGAATCTAAAGGACTATGGGTAATCTAATTGTTCGTACACCAATATTAAGATAACTTTATGTCATTGATTGAATTTCCATTGTTAAGGACCTTTTAAACCAATCACAAAGTTTTGGTGTATGGCTTTAAAAAATATTACCCAGAGCGCATTAGATTCTGAAATGGCAAATTATATATGCAAGAAATATTTTTTCTGCAAGAAGTGAATAAACAGAAAATCATTCGATTACTTATATGAAACAGAGGATTGTTTTATGGTCTAGATATAAAGATAAGAAGTTGTGGTATGATTGCCAATGAGACAACTCCCCACCAGAGACCCAAACGACATAGAAGTTAACAACACTGTATGGCCTTCAACAATGAACAAAACCCATACCTCAAAGCTATAAAAGATAAAATACTGAAGGTATTATCTATTTCCCTCAAGTATTACTTTTCTTATATCACACTAATGGAATTTATTTAATTTGGTTGGCCGATGATGACTTTCAAAGGTCGCCTCAGACTACTTACCTTGGCATGGATAATTGCTATTCCTTCAATAAGATACAAAACACTTACAAGTTTCACTATCACATATCCTTTTTGTCAATTTTATTTTTCAACTCTGAAGCGTCCAAAGAGCTGGAAAACATCTGATGTTCATGACTGACACCAGAAGCAGTCATATGACATCAAACATCAAACTGTTTAGGTGCAAAAGACTAGAACAATGTTTTGCAGAATTTTCTTTTTTACACAAAGATAATTTTTACCATAAGAGAAATTGGTTTAACAAATCTTGAGAGTTAGATATAGCTTTTAATTGAAATCAACTCTCCTTATATATTTCAATAATAACAATAAAATTGCTGTTAGCCAGACTCTTTTATCATTATACTGCAATTAAATAACTCCATTTAAATTTAGCAATATCAAATTTTCACTTTTTATGAATTTTATAATTTAAACACATCAAATATCACTGTGTTCGTTCCGATAATGTTTAGATAGAGCGTCATATTTGCTTACCTTCCAATGGCAAATAACGTTTACTTTAACATTTATTTCACTTACCCTGTATATGTATGGTATATCTGCCAAAGGAAATTAAGCAAACAATAATCAATCATTTACTTTACTTGTAACTTCAAATATCTTACTGCAATCATCACCATTTACATAAATTTCCCTCTTTTACCAGACTAAATACAGATTCTGCTCAAACCAGTGCTAGGGGCAGTTTTAAACTTGCAGTGATATGGGAGTTTATTTGCTCTGTGTTGAAGGCCTAACGATGACTTTGAGATGAAGAACAGCAATAAAAAAACTGTTCCTTTGCTTTTTGGGGTTTTTTTTGCTGTGCATATAAAGATTTTGTGTCATGGATGGATGCCCCATATCCTTTCTTCTCTATTAACAGTTTTTATCAGTATGCTGACCTTTTTAATTGATAATTTATTTTTAAATTCAGGATAAGTTTTTAAACAGAATATTATCCCCATTTAGAGCAAATACTTGCATATTTGAACATATTCCTTACCCTCAAATTAGTTTCTCTAAACAATTTATAATTTATCTAACTTCATCAAAAATTAGTCAATTACTCAGATTTCCACAATACTACTATAGCCCTAATAATATAACTTTACCTTTAAGTTCTGTGTTGAGGTTGACAACCAAAGGAGACATCTTCCAGTCAAAAGTCGCTACCAGATGTAAAAATCTGAGAAATCCTGTTAAAGGGTTACTGAAAATGAAAACAAACAAGATAAATGATCTGTCATTTCATCCATTGAAAAATTATAAAAAAGCACATTTTAATTAATTCTGAGTGCTTGAACATTTGAAAATATTGTAAAGCTAAAAATCAGTATTTTACATGAACCCTGTCAGAGGACATACTTTACGCACTGTCCTATAATGGGAAAAGTAATGTTTATAACTTCTGACTTTGATGACATAGCTAAGGCTCTTATAGAGCAGCTTGGTAATATTTCTTACCAGTTTAACAGTTTGATTGAACAAACAGCAATTTTGGACATCTATAAAAGCATGCTGCTAAAATGAAGCAATTAGTGATTAATATTTTGAACTTTCAATTAGAATTACAATTTATAAAAGTTAATTGCTAAGGAAAACACCGATGAATATATAGAAACTTTTTGTATGGTAACATTGTTGGATTTCAATAGACTTTGATTTATATTATGACAATATTAAGTACACTAGTAAAAGGCAGTGATCTTAATTTCAACAAAGTAAATAGCACAAAGCCTGATAAATTCACCCCCGTCCAATGAATAAGATAAAATGACATTTCAATTCTCAACCAAGATGGCAACAAAGAATTTAATTTGAGGTGAATCAAAGCTTTTTAAGTTGCTATAATTAGACCCTTCTTGTCACAGAAAAACACAAAAGATTCAACAAGAAGTGTGTCGTGTATTTTATTGAACATATTTAGCAAAAAGTTTTGAAAATGTGTCTTGTAATTTTATTTAGTTTTTGATTCTTCTATTTATTTGTTACACATATCTAAATATTCTTGTGGTTAATAATATGCATATCATCTTTTTTTATATCATGACTTACTTATACATGTCTTAATGTATTTGTGTATAGTATTAATGAACTTTAAATGAGTTTAACTTCTATAATTTGCTCTATAATTAAAACCTACTATGGCACTGTGTATGGTCCAGGACTTGTATACAAGTATGCCACCATTAGTTCTACAGCTATATCAGGGACATGATCTGCCAACAGCTGAGATGAGATCCAGCGTTTGGCTAGTCTTACTGAGCCACAAAAACTGTTAAACTTTTGTTGTATCCTGTAATTAAACATCAAGTACTATTTATACTGAAATAAACTGTAATAATGGTTAAGTAAAATGTATTACTTTCAAGAAGTATATGATTTTTGGTGAAAACAGATTATCTGCCATTTACTGGACTTCATTAAGATATCATTTCATTGCTTTGCAACGTTGGAAAAATTTGATACTTCAATATCAAGTTTACATATTATCCGTTTCTTATAATTAGCAATGAAATCTAATGACAATAACCATTTTTCTGTGTGGAAAAACATTACTGTGGATTCATTTATTTTTGTAGGCACCAATTTTCGTGGATTGTGGAAAACTTGCCTTTTAGTGGATATGTGATTTCGTGGTTTTGCCAAAGTCTACTTACAACCTGATAAAAATTTGTATTTCGTTGAACATTTAAATTAGTGGTTCACCAGTACCCATGAAGACCACGAAAAAATTGGTATCCAACGAATAATAATGAATCCACCAAATTTTAATAGTTTAATCCACTATTAAAAAAATCCTTTAATGAATCAGTAAATATAACAAGTTTCTTTAACTATTTTACATGTATGTAAGAAGGATTAGGAAATTACAAGTTTTGTTTTAAATTTTTATAAGAGAGTGAAAATTGCATGACATTCAAGACCTCAGAAAATTCAATAAAAAATAAATCAAACTTAAGCAATCTATCTTATTGATTGTACCTACATGTACTTTTATTTAGAGAATATCAACTTTTATTTAAAGAATATCAACTTTTATTTAGAGAATATCAACCGAAGTATAACACAAATTTTCATATTTTTTAATGATTTCTTCTTTCTTTTTTAAACTATGTTCCATGTTTAGTAATGATGGCATTAACTGTTGAACCAAATATATACTGCAGCTGTTCTATTTGCACAGTCAAATTTCATTGATCGTATATTCATTTGTGATATTCAGTCACTGACTGTATATCGCCTTGTTTATGACATTGACAATACGTTTCAGTAGAGTTTTATTTATGACGTCAATAAAATATACAGGTTCGCGGATATTTTACTTCGTCCGCTCCAAATCAAAAAATTATGGCTTTTACCCTAAATATTTCATTTGGAACAGTTATAGGAGTTGCAGTATATAAAGCATAACCATGCACTGTCTCGAAAGATAAATTTTATTTGTACTCTGCTCTCAACAGGATAGAAATGCTTGGCACAGCCTCACTTTCTACCAGTTTCTAAGCCTAGTACAAATAAAATTTACATTTCGAGACAATGTATAGTTATTCTATATATATTTTGAACACATCATCAGGATGATACTGGCCAAGTTTGGTTCAAACTAGTCAAGTAGTATTAGAGAAAAAGAAAAACAAAAGTTACAAAGAACAATTGTCAGTCTTGCCATTTCAGCTTACATTCCACACTTCAAAAGATGCATTTTCACCCTAGAGTAACACAACCATGTAACATACTAACTGGTTTGGGTACCAGTTAAGAAATCCAACATTAATGATGAAACCTGTTACCAAAAAGTTACATACCCGTGTAATGTACTGGTTAGAATGGGAAGTAGTTTTATGTCCTGCTCTAATCTCAGCGCCTCATCATTGTCTACAAACTTCACCATTCCATCAGGGGAAGTAACTTTCTTCAGTAAGGCTATTTCTCTCAAGTATTGTAATTCTAACCTGAATACATAATCCTCCTAGAAATAAAATTTACATCAACAATGTCATTATGTATATTACTACTGTATCACAACTCTTGAACGGTAAAATTGTGAGATATGTAAGGATGGCAATACATTCAGGAAAAGTTTTTTTTTATAAAAATATCGAAATTTTTTGGAAATATGCAGTATCAAAATGTGTGGTTATAATGATGGGCACCACAATAGTTAGCTATGATGATAACACATTTTAATGTCAAAATCTTTTGCAACATTAAATTTGGTTCCAGTGTTATCAAATGGAATGGAAATGAAATTGACTATTTTGTTTATATAACTGCACAAGATAAACTGGTAAGGGAAAGTTGACTAAAATATTACAGACATGCCTTATGGATCATTTATACCAATTTCAGGGCCTGGAATTTGGTGGGATTTCATATTGATCAATCTTCAGTTTTTTGTATAGTGTTTTTTTTTTAGAGTTATTTGTCCCTTGGTCCGTTTCTTTCTGTAATGTTGTGTTTTCTTCTAATTATTCATTGTATTGGCCCTTTGGTATTTTCATACTGTTTTGTATCAATTCTTTTCTTTAATTTTCCCTTTTATCTTATTTTTGCATAATATCCCAACCAAAAATGACCAATAACATTTGAGAATTAACTATTTACTTGTTGAACTCATATTTTAACTCTTCAAAAAAGGTTTTTAAATTAAGAATTTGGTTACTGTGAGTTCAAAATTATTGCGAGGTATTCATAATATGAATAATGCGACTCCTTGAGTATTGCAAAAATAGGAACTTGCATTATGATATCTGATACGTATATCTGTATGAAGCTTTTCCTAAAATCGTAATATAATTAAACTTGCATTTTTGTTCATTCTTCAAAAATGGCAATAACAAACGCACGCAATAATTCCTGAATTTACAGTAGCAAATTTAATAAATTCACAACATAGATGTTTTATCTGATTCCTTAATTTTGATTTGCCCCAGCATTCCATAATTAATATTTTATCTCCCAGTAAAATGCAACACCTATGAATCCATGTGCTATTTGTGACAATGTTTAAACAAAGAACAGAAAAACATAAAAAAGCTTGAATTAACTTTGACTTCATGATTGTAGCATAAAAGTTAAATAATAAGAATAGAATGCTCTTTTTTGTAATTTTATAGGGTTGTAAAAGCATTTAAAGCAAGCACATTTTTAGTATGAACATATAATTTTGTTTTTTCTAATATGTCAATGTCTTCTATTTGAAACAAATCTTAAAATATAAAATTTGTTATAATTATTCGTCAATATCTATGATCATTTTCCCAGAAATATATTTCAATCATTGAATACATACAAATCTGACATCTACATGGTCAATATTTATAGCGACAGGTAAATCATGCTGGTCGCTGAGTATTTCTCCAAATTTGATGTGCAGGGCAGCTTTGATTCTTCTGAATGCATCCTTATCATCAGGCCAGTGACCACTACCTTCCAATAAACATACAACTGCAAAACAAAATAAAAAAATGGTCTCTCTAGAGGTTTCTAATGTGGTTTACTTGGAAATCACAAATTACAATTTTTTTGGCTGTGTTAATTACATTATCAAAATGCCATTTTTGTTTTCTTACATAATTAAATTACATAAAGTTGATTTATCAAAAAAAATTAATAAATGATGTTGCAGTTAAGTTTCATCATAACAAATGGACAAAAATGGCTGTATTTACACATCAAAAACTACTCTGAGTACAGACTAACCTGTGTAGTTGGAAAAGTTTTAAGGCCTGGCATCCACTAGATATATAAAAGTTGAATGCATTTTGTGTTTCAGAAAGATAAAATCTTCCTTTGGATTTTGATGGGCATTATTTTTTTGTTCCTGCTGTTGGTGTAAAAATAAACAAACACCTCAATTGCTTTTGATACTGTCCACTCAGTTACACCCTTTAACTCACCTATAGTTGTGTAGATATCTATTGTCTGTCTATTGTCCATGTCAATCAAGGACAATCAAGCCAATACAATACAGTTGTTACCTGAGAGGGAGCATCGCAACATTGTATCCCAACATAGTTTATTTTTACACCTTCTGCAGGAACGAAAAAAAATGGCCATCAAAATCCAAAAAAGATTTTATCTTTCTGAAACACTAAATGCATTCAACTTTTATATATCTAGTGGATGCCAGGCCTTAAAACTTTTCCAACTGGACAGTTAAGTCTGTACTCAGCATTGTTTTTGAGGTGTAAATACAGCCATTTTTGTCCATTTGTTATGATGAACCTTAAAACATACATAAGTGCATAGTTTCTGTAAAATAGTAATATTTCATACCTTTAGTAACAGCTGTGTAAGGAGGACATGGTTTATCCGACTGTGGTAATAGTCTTAGGTCTTTTTTATCACTGCTCACTTTAGCATGGTAGAAGAATGTAGCTGGCAATGCAGGAAACACCTAAAAAAGTTAACAAAAGTATAGTAAAAATAATGAAAATGTCAAAGCTAAAGACTAGGTTGGATAAGACACTAATAAAAGACTTGAATATTTATTTTGTTTATTATTTTTGATAATCCTATATATAGTTGAAGTCTGGAACATTATGTCAACTTTTACCCAAATTTTTCAATATTTGGCCTTTTGATTGTATGTTTAAGCCTTAACTTTAAACATTCTTCATCTTTAATATTCGACTCAATATTTGAGCTATATAATGCCTGCTTCTTTGTAGTGTGGGGATTAAAATTGTATATACAACTTAAGTAAATATCTAAAATTGACAAATCTTTTTTCTATTTATGAAGGCAATACAGTCGACTCCACTTAATCGCATATCGCTTAATTGTATAATTCTGTTAATTGCATAATTTTCTCCTGCACAAAACCATTTCCCATTCATCTAATGTTATAAATTATCCGGTTATCTGCATAGCCTAAAAAGTGGCCATTCTGTTAATTGCATAGAAAATAATCGCCAGCTAGATATGCTTAGTTAAAACTGACAAGATTTTTTACCGGAAACGGCAATTTGGTAAGTATATTATTATTGAATGCATTATTATTTTCTTTATTATTTTATATTCACTTTTGAGTTGTTTAAATAAAGTTTTAAATCAGTTTCTTTCATGTTTATATGATGGGATATGGATTAATAATCCTCGATGTGTACACAAGTAAATTTTCCCTTGTTCTTTTTCAAGCCTCGAGGTAATAAACAGCTGCGCCACGAGCGCATGATACGCCCGTCGTCTTGTGTGTGAAGTTTTATGCAATAATCATAAATAGTTTCTGAGATATGGCGCGACATGTGAAAATCCCCCTTTTTTTACAAAAAACTCAATAACTCAAAAATAAAATTTTAAATCATCACCAAAAAGTATACAGATCTTTAAATTAATATTACTAAGAAGTGTGTAAAGTTTTAAGCAATAATCATAAATCGTTTTTGAGATACGGCGCAACATGTGAACCCCCCCCCCCCCCCTCCCCCCTTTTTTTTACAAAAGACTCAATAACTCTAAAATAAAATTTTGAATCATCACCAAAAAGTATACAGATCTTTAGTTTAATATAACTAAGAAGTGTGTAAAGTTTAAAGCAATAATCATAAATCGTTTTTGAGATATGGTGCGACATGTGAAAAATCCCCTTTTTTTACAAAAAACTCAAAAACTCTAAAATAAAATTTTGAATCATCACCAAAAAGTATACAGATCTTTAGATTAATATAACTGAGAAGTGTGTAAAGTTTTAAGCAATAATCATAAATCATTTTTGAGATACGGCGCGACATGTGAAAAAAACACACCCCTGTTTTAGTTACAAAGTCCCGTAACTCAAAAAGTTTTAATCTTATTTTCACCAAAAAGTATACAGATCGTTTGACCATCATAAGAAACAACTATGTAAAGTTTCATGAAATTTGGATAAGTTGTTCTCAAGTTACAGTTTGACATGTTTACGCGGGACAGACGAACATACGGACATTTGTATACCATACATAATACGTCCCGTCAAAATTTTGATGGGTGTATAAAAAATGTCAAACAGGTAATTGTTGTAAAAACACGATCATTCTCTCTCAAAAGGTGTTAATTATTGATTGGATTTCAAACATTGTCCATATATTAAATTTGGGGTGAATTTTAAAAACAATGACGCCTGACAATTCACTTTGAACAAGAGTGCACACGCTGAAATGTCTCGCCTTCTTTACTAACCATTGATATTATGTTGATAGTACGTAAATAAACTAAAACAAAATGTGTTTTATATATAAACTTTATTGAGAGTATTAAAAGACAGTAACATGTATGACATCAGACATATAACTTTTATTAGAATAAATCATCATTCAATTATCAATAAGTGGATTACAGCCGTTCATCTTTCTTCAGGGATTTCCTTTACTGATCTTTACTATCGATGTTATTTAACTCCATAATTTGGCATTTCCAATATAAGCTTAATTGCATAATTTTGTCTGACAAATAGGCTATGCAAATAACGGGAATCAACTGTATTTCACTCTAAAAATCTAAGTCCAATAAAAAATGTTATATGAAATACAATATCAAATTATAGTTTATAAACTTATGTTAGTGCTACAAACTTATGCATGATTTACCTCAGCAAACCTAAACACAGGTGATGTCCCCTGTATAGAGTTTATCGTCAACGGCATATCTTTCAGATTACGTAGCACTTTACATAAATTGTCATACGACTGCATTAAAGCTGAATGTTGTTCTTCTCCTGTACCATAAATGTAATTCTTTTCATAGGACTGAATGGGCAATGATAGCACCTGATCTAGCTGATCTCCAATGTATGATATACAAGTAACTTTGGCCCATCTGAAAAATAGGTCAACAATGATGTAGGTTTATATACAATATTAGTTACATAGTGTGGTAGTGAACTAATAGGATGTGTATGGGTCAGTAAATTGATATGGGGTGAGAGCGAAAATAAAATTTATAAGAGATCCGTATAACAAAGAAGATGTGGTATGAGTGCTAATGAGACAACTCATGCACTTTTACTCAAGTTATTGTCTATGAACCAGAAAAATAATTGTTTTTGTTAGCCTCTTTTTTGCCCCATATTCCTAAACAGCTACTATAATAACCCCCAACCTTCCTATTGTGGTATGGAACCTCGTGCTAAAATCTAATAGAGATCCATAACTTATACTCAAGCTATTGCCTGCAAACCAGAAAAATAGTTGTTTTTGGCCCTTTTCAACTCCTTATTATTAAAGGGTTTGGGCCATGACCCCCCAAAAATCAATCCCAACTTTCCTTTTGAAGAATGGAACCTTGTGGTAAAATTTCATAGAAATCTATACTCTTATATACAAATTATTGTCCTGAATCATGAAAATTGCTTCTTTTTTTGCCCTTAAATACTAAACATCTACAACAATAACCCCCAAAATAAATACCAACCTTGCTATTGTGGTATGGAACTTTGTGCAAAAATTTAATAGAGATCCATACACTTATATTAAAGTTATTGTCTGTGAACCAGACAAATAATTGTTTTTGTTAGGCCCTTTTTGACCACTAATTACTTAACAGCTATGACAATAGTCCCCAAAATTTATCCCAACCTTCCTATGACGGTGTGGAACCTTGTGCTACAATTTAATAGAGATAATTACACTTATAATCAAGTTATTGTCTTAAAACCAGACAAATAATTGTTTTTTGGCCTCTTTCTGGCCCCTAACTACAAAAAATCTAAGACAATAACCGCCAAAATAAATCCCAACCTTTCTATTGTGTATGGAAACTTGTGCTAAAACTTCATACAGATCCATGCACTTTTACTCAAGTTATTGTCTGCGAACCAAAATGTCTTCAGAAGCCAACACAGACATCGCCAAAACATAATATGGACGCAAAAAATTTTGTGGTCGTATAAAAACTGTTTCCAAGTAAATAAGGAAATTATGGCTAATGACAAAAGTTTTAAATTATCATTCTGAAATCAGTATCATGTCAAGAGTTATCTTATATTGGAAATCAATTTACACCCAAGTTTTAATATGGAAAAAATCATGGTGCCAGGCTCAAGTTTTGTTTGTTTAATTTTTTATGCTATGGATGCAGGACAAGCAATATTTTCGCTTAATTTATATTGTTTTATGGATCACCAATAGTACAGAAAACTCTACCAATATGGCAATAAAAAATTAGTGTCCTCCAGGAACAAACAAGTGAGTATCTAGTTCATTGATCGTCTGATTCATTGATTGTCATGACTATATGATTCATTGATTATAATGACTATTTGATTCATTGATTATCATAACTATTTGATTCATTAATTATCATGACTATCTTATGCATTGATTATTTTATTCATTGACTATAATGACTATCTGATTCATTGATTATCATTGCTTTTGATCCTTTGATTATAATGACTATATGATTCATTGATTATCATGACTTTTGATCCATTGACTATCAGGACTATCTGATTCACTTATTATCATGACTATTTGATTCATTAATTATCATGACTATCTGAAGCATTTATTATCTGATTCATTGACTATCATGACTATTTGGTTCATTGATTTTCATGACTATATGATTCATTGATTATCATGACTTTTGGTTTATTGATTATCATGACTTTTGTTCCAGTGATCATCAAGACTATCTTATTCACTTATAACCACGATTATCTGATTCATTTATTATTATAACTATATGATTTATTGATTATCATGACCATCTAAATCATTGATTATCATGACTATCTGATTCATTGATTATCAAGACTATCTGATTCATTGATTATCATGATCATTTGATTCATTGATTATTTTGACTATCTGATGCATTGATTTACATATTTATTGACAACCATGAATATTTGAGTCATTTATTATCATGACTTTCTGATTCATTTATTATCATGAATATCTGATTCATTGACTATCATGACTTTTAATCCATTGGTTTTTCGTAAATAAATAATTCATAGATTATCAATTCTGTGAGGGGGCAAAATATTTTGAATCAACAACAGCTAACTATCGGAAATTTTCAGAAATTGATGAGTTTTACGTGAATGAGTCTACTTTCTAAACCATGGGGTTTCATCGTGGTTTATTCATTCATAGAAATGAAATCAGTATTCAACAAAACCTTGATCTTTGTCCATAAGTGCAATCTCAGCATCCTCAAATATTACATCTTGACCCATCAGAACCATCCAAAACTATGAAGTTTCAAGTATAACAAGAGGCTCTCAAGAGCCTGAATCGCTCACCTGCATTTCAGAGGAGAAGATTTTAAAATGTTAGCAAACTTTATGAACAAATTGTGTAAAATTGTCTTTAAAGGGCAATAACTCCTTAAGGGGTCAATTGACAATTATGGTCATATTAACTTTTTTGTAGATCTTACTTTGCTGAACATTATTGCTGCTTACAGTTTATATATATATCTATAATAATATTCAAAATAATAACAAAAAACTGCAAAATTTTGTTAAAACTACCAATTCGGTGGCAGCAACCCAACAATGGGTTGATAGATTCGTCTGAAAATTTCAGGGCCAATAGATCTTGACCAATTAAACAATTTTACCCCATGTCACATTTGCTCTAAAAGATTTAGTTTTTGAGATATAAGCCAAAAACTGCATTTGACCCTTATGTTCTATTTTTAGCCATGGTGGCCATGTTTGTCGATGGATACAAACTGCGGATACAATTTATAAACAAGATACCCTAAGGAACATTCAGTTAAAGTTTGAAGGTAATTGGCCCAGTAGTTTCAGAGGAGAAGATTTTTAAATGTTAGCAAACTTGATGAACAAATTGTGTAAAATTGTCTTTAAAGGGCAATAACTCCTTAAGGGGTCAATTGACAATTATGGTCATATTAACTTTTTTTGTAGATCTTACTTTGCTGAACATTATTGCTGCTTACAGTTTATATATATCTATAATAATATTCAAAATAATAACAAAAAACTGCAAAATTTTGTTAAAACTACCAATTTCATGGCAGCAACCCAACAATGGGTTGTTCGATTCATCTGAAAATTTCAGAGCTGATAGATCTTGACCAATTGCACAATTTAACCCCATGTCAGATTTGCTCTAAAAGCTTTAGTTTTTGAGATATAAGCCAAAAACTGCATTTGACCCCTATGTTCTATTTTTAGCCATGGCGGCCATGTTTGTTGATGGATCAAAACTTCGGATACAATTTATAAACTAGATACCCTAAGGAACATTTAGTTAAAGTTTGAAGGCATTTGGCCCAGTAGTTTCAGAGGAGAAGATTTTTGAAATAGTTTACAAAGACGGACGACGACGGAAGCCGACGGACGCCAAGTGATGGCATAAGCTCACATGGGGCCCTTTGGGCCCCGGTGAGCTAAAAAACCAGAGGCTCTCAAGAGCCTGTGTCACTCACCTGTATGTACTGTGTTTTTGTAAATCATGTAAAATAAGGTTAAAATCATAATAAATAGTATTAGATACCCTAATAATGATTGAGGCCAAGTTTGGTTTAAATTGCAGACATATCTTAACCTGATAAACCTTTTTTTTTACTATGTCAGATTTGCTCTAAGAACACAGTTATTTCGTAGTGCATTTCTTTTAGACAATTTAGACTTTTGTGACAAATTATATCAAAATTATGGAAAGTCTATCGGCTCTAACTCAAAATATGGATAATTTTATGTTAAAGGGGTCTGCAATTAAGTTTGACAGCTTCAGACATACCAATTTTTGACCTTTTCAAACTGGACAAAATCACTACTTTACCTAAAAATTCATGGACCAAATTTTTTTACATGTAATTTCATCCCCCTACTTACTACTTCAGGCATTTAGTTCATCCATTTTTGCTTTTTCTTCACAAATTATTTTTTTGTTGTTGGAAGTAACCAGATAGAATTTGTCAAAGCAAAGGGTGCAATATCATCTTGACTTGCATTGATCTATATGGTAATAAATTGCTTCACTGAGCACAGCTGGATACAGGTCTGAATTTGGATTGTAATTAAATTTTTGACACATAATAGGTTTGTGACACAGAATAACTGTAGTCAAAGAACTTCAAATTGGTTATATGATTTGAATTTATATTCAATTTTTTGCTTTTGTGCAATACACTATGCGAATTGATTTGGATTACCTCCCTTACACTGCTTTTAAATTGTCTCAATTGTCCTTTAACCAGAAAAACCCTTGTTTTTCCCCTTTTTTTGCCCCTAATTCCTAAATGGTTTGAGCCATAACCCCCCAAAGTCAATCCTAACCATCCCTTTGTAGTATGGAAACTTGTGGTATAATTTCAGAGAGATTCATACACTTTAACACAAGTTATTGTCTGGAAACTACAAAAATGCTTATTTGGGCCCCTTTTTTGGCCCCTAATTCCTAAACAGTTGGAACCATAACCCCCAAAATCAATCCCAACCTTCCTTTAGTGGTTATAAACCTTGTATTAAAATTTTATTAATTTCTATTTACTTATACTAAAGTTATTATCCGGAAACCATCTGTCTTCGGACGACTCTGACGATGACAACGACAACATGATACCAATATACAACCAAAAAATTTTTAATTTTTGCGGTCGTATAAAAACATTTAAATGTCAATATTTATCATATTGTTTGGGGTCTTAGTGCCTCTGTATTGATTATCGGATTGTATTTGCGTATTTTGCATAATAGAACCAAGTGTTTTCTTTGATTCACCAGCAAACCGGAAGATGGCTTGATAAGTTTCGGTCAAACTTGTCAATGTTGGTGCAATCATTAAAACAAGATGATATGTCCGGCTCAAAGTTATTAAGGCCAGGTCAACATA